GGCTCACTGACTATCAGTACTGGAGTACGAGAAGGTAGTTTGCCATCTCTACTTCTCTTCTCGACACAAATGACTGTACCTTGAAGAAATCCTTTTAAATTTGCAGATATCATGACGCTGATTGGCCTAATATGCAACAACGGACCCATTTATAGGAAGGAAGTAAAACACCTGGTGTCTTGGTGCAGTTAGAACTTACAACTGAATGTCCTAAAGACAGTGGAGATTTGGCTAATAACAATACCTAAGTTTTTTATTTGCTGTATTAATATAAGAAAAAAATGAAATTAAATGAAATCTTTTTCAAACTTCTACAGTGATGAATGGAAACAAAAAATATATAATTTTTGTCAATCAACTGTAAAGTAGTAGTAGTAAAATATTAGTCAGACGACCCTCCAACTAGTCGATATGCACATGCCTACTAAAGATCAAGTAACTCCTGAGAACTTCCAAGAACTTCAACTTGCCACTGGCAGTGATGGCGTAGTTCTACAATGCATCACTAAATCCGTCCTCAAAACCATCTGATTTGAATCCACCATAGCACTGGATCCAAGCAGACTGAAGATCATCAGCTGCAATCTGCCCTCCCTCCAGGACCTTTATGAGTCAACATCCAGGAAGGGGGCAGTCAGAAAGCCCTCACACTCTGATCACCACATCTTTCAGCTGGTGCCTTCTGTGAAGCTCCGCAGAACCACAAAAACAAACTTCCAGAAACAGAGGTAAATAATGATATAAATACTGTTCGGTTTCTGGCACAAACCGATCGTTTCGTGTCTTAGGACATCAATGTGTCGTCACGAGCCGCAGGGTTTAATTTGGATTTGTCTGTACATGTTTTTTTTACTCTCATAGATTTTGTTACCATTGCCATGCATTATACGACTGAGACTGCAACGGTTAAAGTAAAAAATCATCATATGTGTTCTACTGAAGAAACAAAGTCACCTACATCTTGAATGCTCTGGGGGTAAGCAGATAAACATAAAATTTTTGAGTGAACTATCCCTTTAATACTCCCTATTGCCTCACCACTAAAACAGAACACTACAATACAAAGAGATAAGAGATTTGACACACATACAGTACTGTATAGAGTATCACAAAATTGATATCACCAACATAAAGCTCCCAAATTAATGAGTAAAGAACTGATTAGACAAAACCAAATCCTTCTGTCAGACAATAGAGCTAAATTCTGCTCCTATATCTTATATGTGAAGCTGAGCACAAGGAATCTGTATAAGCGTTTTTCATTAACAGCTGTCAGATTAATATGTTCCTAAACTTTAATTCCTTCACTTGCCTGCCAGAAAATCGGGTGACCTGTTGCTTCAAACACTTAATTGCTTTAAATTCAGACAGTTGTGCACCAAAGGGTCTGTTTGAAGTTAATTCAGCATAATAATTAACATTAAGAAATGGAAGACACTAAGACAGTGTGAATTGAATATCCATTGTATTTTTTAGCCATTCAGCACTAGTTTGTTGAGCTATTCGAACTTACTGTATAGGCCAGCTAAAGGTGAACTGCTTTTCTGTCGTTCTTGTTTATAAACAGGTTTCACAAACACTCTCCCCACCTGTTATTGGACAGACAGTTCCACCCACACTCACGCCATTGGTTAATAAGTCACTGTTGCCAGGCTGGTCAGGATGTTCAAACAAACAAAGCAGTTTTGAAAGTACTAAAGAGACAGAGTTACACTTTTTGGGGAAATCAACTTACAAAGAGCATGCTTATAATTGAGCATATTAAATGAATAGATAATTTGATGAAAATGTACTCATTCTCGGGCCATCCAAGATGTAGATGAGTTTGTATTTTCATCAAATCAGATTTGGAGAAATTCAGCATTACATCACTTGCTCACCAATGGATCCTCTGCAGTGAATGGGTGCCATCAGAACGAGAGTCCAAACAGCTGTTAAGCATCACAATAATCCACAAGTAATCCACATGATTCCAGTTCATCAGTTACGTCATGTGAAGCAAAAAGCTGTGCGTTTGTAAGAAACTAATTTATCAAGGCATTTTAAATTAAGACCATTACTTCAAGCCAAAACACCAGCTTTGGACTCTCATTCTGACGGCACCCATTCACTGCATTGATCCAAACCTGTTCTGATTCATCTACATTTTGGATGGTCTGAAGACGAGTTAATTTTCAGCAAATTTTCATTTTTGGGTGAACTATATTGACATTTAAAATTACACATTCACTCACTTTCAGTTCATCTAAGTTCATATAAAGGCATACACATTATTGCCAAAAATGCTTACTAAATACATTCGTAAAGAGGACCACAGTCAGTCTTAAGGGGTTTGGAATCAAATATGAGGGCGGACACATGCAAGGGCAAGGCAATAAATTAGAGGAAATTAGCATCTCTGTCGCCAGAGGCGACTACCGAGACATATTCTACAGCTACAACAATACAACAGGAGGAGGTGAGCCGCCTATTGAAGGTACATTATTGGAAGCAGACTGAAAGGTTTGGAGTTAAAGAGCATGCTTCCTGTGGTGACTGGCAGGGGTTAGTTTGAAGAGGCAAAAATGGTTTATGGGTGCAGTGCTGTGAGAAAAACCCCACAGTTAGTGGCTCTACTTAACAGAATGGTACATCTGCCTCACTTGAATGCCTATTCATAGCTGTTCACGGGATATTTCCACTCAAGCACTTTTTTTCGTAAATACCAAAAACTTGAATTTTAAATGTAACTGAAACAGTTTGGAAGCAACCGTGCTACATATCTAGTGGTCCTAGTATTAAAGCAAACTCTGTGCTTCAATTCTGTGCTTTGGTTGGTAACACTTCTAAAAGTAGTTTGATTGTCTTGAAAGTAAAGTTTTTTTATTGGCATCTATGGTTCCATGAAGAACATTTAAATTCCATGAAAACTTTCCATTCCACAAAATTTATTTTAGAAAAAAGTTTTTTGTAGAAAAAAGGTTTGTTAGATTTTTAAAATGTTATTTAACCACATAAAAATATCTTAAATAACTTGATCGAAAGGTTCTTTGGGAACCCAAAATGGTTCTTCTATGGCATTGCTGTATAAACCCCCTTTTGGAAACTTTATTTTTAAGAGTGAAAGTGCAGACACTCTGAAATCAGCACAGGAGACATCTTTAAAGGAACACTCCACTATTTTTGAAAATAGGCTCATTTTCCAACTCCCCTAGAGTTAAACAGTTGAGTTTTACCATTTTCAAATCCATTCAGCCGATCTCCGGGTCTGGCGGTAGCACTTTTAGCTTAGCTTAGCATAGATCATTGAATCTGATTAGACCGTTAGCATCTTGCTCAAAAGAGTTTCTATATTTTTCCTATTTAAAACTTGGCTCTTCTGTAGTTACATCGTGTACTAAGACCGATGGAAAATGAAAAGTTGCGATTTTCTAGGCCGATATGGCTTCCGGTGTAATAATCAAGCAACTTTGCTGCCGTACCATGGGTGCAGCAGGCACAATGATATTACGCAGCGCCTGAAAATAGTCCCAGCTAGGTAACTTCCAATATGTATATTTTCAGGCGCAGCGTAATATCATTGCATCATGGTACGGCAGCAAATTTTAAAGTATAATTAAACAAGTGAAAAAAAGCTAAAAGTGCTACCGCCAGACCCGGAGATCGGCTGAATGGATTCGAAAACGGTAAAACTCAACTGTTTAACTCTAGGGGAGTTGGAAAATGGTGGAGAGTTCCTTTAAGACTAGAAACCATCTTTTTAACAATATATATTTTTTAAGTGCAACTGGAGACCAATTCAACTGTTTTGCAAGGTTCACAATCAACTTCAGGCTATTTTTCAGACAGGCTATATAAGTGAACTTTTAAATGCTACCAGAGACCGCTGTAGCACCAAGGGGGCTGTGCATTCAATAAAATCCTGTGGCGTCTAAAACCAAATACATGGACAGTTGATGGCTTAAATAAGATGTGAATACATCTAAAAGGACTTTCATTTATGGTCAACAAAACAGAGGAGATTTTATGTCATAAACGGCATTAGAAAGAACTCATACAGCACTGCAGCAGAACCTGCGACAGACCACAAGGAAATATAACATGATAAAAGAAATCTACGTTATGTCTGTGAAAAGATCCAAGGTGACCATAAAACTCGCCATTCAACCCAGCCGCCTGGAGATGAAAAGCTAAGTTGGAAGTGGATTAAATAAGGCTACGGTTATTGCTCCTCAAGTTCAGTTCTAAGCCAGTGTTCAAACAGCACCAGCCCTATTTTAGAGGGCTAAATGTGGTTCTGTTCTCATGTTGTTTGGTTGTAAACTAGAGTGACAACCAAAATGTATTACTAAACAAACTCTTGTTTGGTGTGTGAACCTGTGCCGGGGTTTCCACTGCTACTCTCTACAGAAAATAAAGTGATTTGTGAGTTACTACATGGAGCACTTCCTTTCATAACAGACATTAATTAAACAAATTGTAAAAAAAAAAAAAAAAAAAAAAAAAAAAAAATGGAGTAGGCCTGTGAGAAGTATTACAAATTTTATGAACATAAAATGTTATTTACATAATGAGGGGGACATTTACATCCAAGTGGTAATTAATCTACACAGAGCAGAAACCAAAAAAGCGCAAAACTGTAGTTATAAACTGCTAAATCATCTAAAAATTTTAGGATTTTAGGATCAGAAGGTTTTTCAGAACTTCAGACAAAGGGTTACCAACTGGCTGATCTCATACACTCTTAAAAGTAAAGGTTCTTTATTGGCATTGACGGTTCCATGAAGAACCATACACATCCACAAAACCTTTCCATTGGACAAAACGTTCTTTATGGTGGAAAAAAAATTTCAGTATCCAAAGTTAAGCAATACACCAGGTTTTGCCAAAGAATACTCCTTATCCGAGGTAAATCACTGTAATGCAAAGCCTCCTGTGGTCTACTGGCCTGTCTGTATATCATCTGTTACAGTTGTAAAACACAGTAGAGTAAACAGCAAGAATACTTTGACATGGCCTACCTTCCATGACATAGACCAGGGAGCCCACATCGCCTTCTTTGATGATACAACTTTCTTTATCATACTCCACAGGGTACATGCAGTCCACAATCTCCTGAATCTGAGACAGCTCCAGGTTCTTCATGAAGTCATTGTCAAGAATGGCTTCTTTGATTAGTTCTTTAGACCTATGGATGACAAGGGTAAATGAAAAAAATTACTTTTTCATGTTGGTTTTGAAAGTTAATGAGCAATAAAAGTTAGGCCCTGCAACTTATAGAAGTAAAAAAGGTATCAAGCTTATTCAAGACATGTAAACAATCAGAAAGAAACAAATGACAAGCAATATAACAAAATAATAAAACAGAACAAAGACACAAATGAAGTGCTTTAAATTTTTCAGGCAGGTCTGTCCAATAATATTCAGGTAAGAAATACAATGGAAACTGAATTAAGTAATTAAATGTAAAATACCACACTGTATGAATTAAATATACATTCGTTTTTATTAAAGCTACAACAATTATTTGGTCAAAAGCAGTGGGTCATTTTCTCCATTTCTGCTGTGGTTTGATTACTATTTATGACACAGAAGCAGCAGGTATATTAGGCTGCTGTCACTTTAAGACCTAATATACTCACACACATCCTATTTTCTCCAAACTATTTTCATTCATCTAAGACATAACTGACTGTGTTTATGTGAATACCCACCACAGCGGGCATTTTGACATATTTTTGTTTGTATTTGACCTTCGCGGCATTCAGATGCTTTGCCTTATTGTGCTTTTAATATCAACACTCTTTTAATATCACACTCTTTACTTACTCATTTGTCCATTGCTCTAACATGTTAATAGCTTCCTGCCAACTGAAAAATACATGGATAGATTTACATACTGACAAAAATAGGATACATTTGGTCTTGATCTCTGAGATACACTTGAAAAGCAGATTGTGGACTTCTTCAAGATCAATCACGATACAAAATCATCAGATCGCCCACCCTGTTTATAAAACAAAAACAGATCAAGAAGTTTTTGAAAACCCATGAGCAAAACCACTGGGTTCCTCCGAAATAACTGAAATCTCACAGATCTCTCTTTTTTTTCTTGAAATCCCAGACACCTCCATTCAACACCACAGCGTGTGAGATTACTCACAGAAAAATGTCAACCGCTGAAATAATCAGAGAGAATTCCCCATACCTGGGTTTGTGAATGCAATCAATACCTCACCACGCCAATGGATGAATTCCTTCGTATGGAGAGCATCTGGGCTCTATGTGATGACTCATTTTCATTGACAACATCACATTTTATTGGACAATGCTTGTCAGATGGACTTGCTAGTGCCACTGGATTCCAAGTTCCCTTCCACAAATCTATTTGTAATCATGCACTGGGTATATTTGATTATTCAATCACTGCACAAGCAGATCTGCAGATTTGAAAATATTGGATCTTTTTTCTCCTTTGATTAGAAATGACAGTGTGGCAGAGATTATGGCAAGAATGGACCATCTGTGCAAGAGTGCACGAGTGCTGGAGCCCAAGGAGGACATGGGGTGGACAGATGACTGCTCAGATACACTGTGTTACTACCACTCACACACTCCTGCTGGGTACTAATGTCCCATGGGCGGATGATAAGACCTCAAGATCTGTGGCTCTGCCTGGACTAATGATATTAATGACATGGATTTGTCATCCATGTGGGCACCAGCACTACAAACAATGGTGTTTTTGTATAAAAAACTGACCTCTCACTAAATATAACTTCTTGATTCTTGAGATATGAGACAAAACAAGTACCACGATTCTGCCCAGAAATACTTGGGAGATGATCACTAAAATATTAACATGTTAATTTATATCAAATTATATTATTTTATCACTAACTATATTATATGCATAACTATAGTTATATTCAAATATAACTAAGACCACTATTTAGTAAGCAATTTGTAGGTTGATTAAACTAAAAAGTGTAAAAATTGTGGCACTAATGTACTGTAAATTAGGGTTGTGGCAGTGAGGAAATTTTCCCACCGGTTAATCGACATGTGACAACACCGGTAATACTGGTATCACCTCGGGGGCGTTCCCTCTTTTCCTTGCTTTCCTTCGCTTTTAAATAGCTTGTAAAAGCGGCATGCACATTTTACTTTCACTTTCAAATAGTGGCAATTCGGAATAAAGAAATTGTTTGTTTTTAGTTTGTTTGAATTTTCCCTCTTTTCCTCGCTTTCCTTTGCTTTTAAATAGCTTAAAAGCACCGAATTAGCGACAATTCGGCGTCAATTGTTTGAATGCAACAACAAAATACAACGTCAAACTTACTTTAGCGTATATATAAAACATAGAACTTTTATTAACAAAACAAATAAAAATACACCATGCTATAGGGCAGGCTATGCCTAATGTAAAATAACAAATAACTTACATAAAGTTTAAATAGGTATACAAAACTGGAAATAAGTAAACATGTATAATATATAACCAAATAAATAAGAAAATAGAATGTTTATTAGCAAAACGAGTAAGAAAGCTTGGAGGCACGGCATACAAATTGATGTCAAATAAAATCAATAAATGACACAAAGTTTAAATAAAGTAAAAATCAGCAAACAATGTGGAACCAATTAAATAAGAAACAAATGTTTAAAAAAAATGTCCAAAATCAGATAAACGGCAAAAGTCAACAGGTTTTTCAAAATCCAAAATATTGCCAAACAGGCGCTTTTGCATCTCGTTTCGAAACTAAATCATCCGCCATCGTCTTGTCTGTCTCCCCTCACTCTTCTTGTCAGTCAGCTCGATTCACTCTCCTCACTGGAGAAATTAAATCTGATCGTGATGCGACTGTCGTTCGGCACGCTGCATTGAGCAGCCACGTTCAGTTTTTAATTGTAGTATCTGTTCTTTTACTATTACTATAAAAAATAAAAACGACGGTGGGGGTCGGTGACGCGGTGGGCAAGTGACGTAACCGGTGTTGCGACTTAACACCGGTATCACCGTCAGCACCGTCTATCGCGGCAAGCATACAGTAAATATATCCTTACTTTTTGTCTTTACTTATTCATGTGTTTTAATACCAATATCAACTCAAAATGTGATGTAAATCAGTTGTTTGAGATTTTTAGACAATTATCCAAATGTTAACTGCCAAGTTAGCTAACATAACCAGTAAAACTAATGTGTGTTTAAGGAAATATGTTTTTCATTAACACTTTTAAATTAATTTATTAAAGTGAATGTTAAATTTAACAGTATTTTGGCTTTTTTTCTTTATATCAGATGGTGCTGACACAATTTGATTGGAAAAACATATATTTTGTAAGAAATGTATGTAAAATGTTTTACAAATAATGCACTTTACTTCACTTCTTGTCCCAGTACTCAAGTGTAAGGGAAACAGGTCAATTTAGCTCAAAGGGAATCATTTAAGATTTTAAAGGGAACTCCACCAATACCCAAAAGCTAAAGAAGCATGATTAAAAAGAAAACACGGCTCAAAAGGCAAGAAGGAAGAGGTAAGAAGCCGCATGGCTAAAAAGCATGTAACTAAAAAGCCGCATGGCTAAAAAGCATATAACTAAGCTAGACACAAAAAGCAAAGTTTGATGATGTGCTGAGTATTTAAACCGGGCTGTTTAACACCTCCCAAATGGTGTTTTGACCAATTAGATGTTGTCGTTGCTCGGGGTGTTGTATATTCCTCCTCCCCATTCATAAATCAAATGTTCTCTTATCGATCACATGGTCCGCGTTTTTACCGCTCTTTGCAGAGTATAGTTTTGGACATGATTTCTATAACAAGAATGTGATACATTTGACAACGAATTGATTGGAAGAAACGTTTCAAGCAAGAAGATTCAAACACACACATACTAAACATGAATAGGAATTCTTGAACTATTCCATAGTTATTCAAAATACATTTAACTGTTCAAATCAAACTCATAATGGCAACAGCAAATTTGCGTGATCATTTGTAGGCATATGAATTCCAAGGGGAACATGAGATTGAAACTAATAGAACACTTATAGGATTATAAACACATTTCATTTGCTGTTTTCTTATCCCCCGATCGTGCAATTGTCTAGAGAAATATGGCCTCAACTGTTCCTTCTGTCTGACGGTGAAAGAGGGATTAACAACAAATCATTCTACTTTACATACTTGATGAAGACATTACATTGAGAATATAGCATTGCCACATAGACATGGGCAGCCATCAACCAACAATAATGAGAGGTGTAAATAAGACAAGGGGACAAGGGAACAGAAGAAAGGTAAGACTTGATCACTCAAAATGGTATAGGTGCACTCTAAGAAAAGTCTGTAAAAATAGGCCATAATGCACTGTTAATATGAAGCAAGTTTGTGTATTGATTTTTTGCAGGTGTTTAACCAGTATTTTGAATTGCACATTGCAATGAGTGGTGTTTTAGGGTTAAAGGTCAGGAAACGTAACGGATAATTCTGGAATTGTCTGTGGGAGGGTCAGAGAGCTCTCGGAATTCATCAAAAATATCTTAATTTGTCTTACAGGTTTAGAACGACATGAGGGTGAGTAATTAATGACAGAATTTTCATTTTTGGGTGAACTATCCCTTTAACTAGTGAATCAAGATATTCAATTAGATCAAACGTAGGCACATAGGGATTCTGCACATTTTTCAGTTATGATGCAATGATTTTTGAGTTTTGAATCGGGTCACTGAAATGGACAATTTGAACTGACTCATTAGTGTTTCCAGATTGTGCTAGAAAAACACAACAATGAATGAACAAGCCTATAATAAACTTAAATCCAAACTTCTTTTCTTGGGAATAAACCACATACCAAAGTGATCTGCGCCTGTCTACTTTATGTGCCTACTTTATGAACTCCATAAACTGGATCACTTTATGAACCAAGCCCAAACAATAATTCCAAAGATGCTTAATAAGCACCGCAGCCGCAGCTTATACAAAGTGGACATGGAAACACTTTAAGAGTTTGTTTGTTTTGTTTTTGAATGACCAATAATGTATGAAACATCACTAATTTCTATGATAAAAAATAAAAAATGTAGCCTGGTGAGTAAACAAAAAAATGTACTAGCCAATGTCGATTCCATTGTCAAGGTGTCTGTAGAGGTTTGCATTAAAGTTTTCGCTCAAAATTTAACTACAC